TGGTGCCTTCGCAGAATGCCAAGAGCAAGGAAGCGGAAGCTGTCCCGTGGCAATGTTCATTCTTGCTTTGGTTGTTCCATGGGGTTTTGTACGCAAGAGATCGCTATAGCGCAACATGAAGATTGAAGACATGTTCATCGCTAAGGTTGTGGTGAGACGTTGGACTAGCAGCCCTTTGCAGATCTACTTGGAAGACGAGCAGTTGCTTGCAAAGATGAGCTATATGAGTTTCACGCGCATTGTACGAGCAGAGTGCCCTCATGTAAGGCGCGGGCATGGTTTGACCGACTATTGCGACCACTGCGCCATGTTCTCGGGAAAGATCTTGCCGTTCTTGGGACCAAAAAAGCTTTTTCTTCAGTAGGATTACTTTTTTGGAAGTAGCGTAACGCGGGGGTTGTTGCCTTCTCCAAGTCAGGAAAGTGAACAGCTTCATTGCCAACATGCGCGCCGATCTCCATGCAACCTATGACAAGTACTTCCAGCATTTCGACGACGCAGAAACTGTTGCTTCAGACAACCCAGACCCAGCTTCCCTGTGCCGCAAATATTTGTTGTACGTCAACCAGCACACACAGAAATACAGAAAAGAGCTTCAAGCGGTTTCACGCAAGTTGATCTTCGCCTTGCATGAAAAGGAAGGACCTGTGGAGTATGAGCTGCAGTGGCTTTGCAAGCTTGTTGCAGCTTACCAATTCCACAGAGTCAGTTCCAATTTGCAAAGCGATGCCTGCTCTGCCCACATTGACGCGCTTGGGCCTGGCGAGGCCATTTTGTGGTGTGATTGGAAACAAAATCTGAGCATACCAATGACACACGCGCAGACAGGTGACCAATACTGGGCCACTGCAAGAGCAGAGGTCTCATGTTTTGGAGCAGTGCTGTTCCTAGAGCAGGAAGCAGAAAGACCTCGGAAGATCAACGTTCTCCTGCTATCGGACATAATAGAGCATACAGCGCTGGCGGCGTCACAGCAATTGAGCATTCTCGCCAAGGAGTTGCGCGATGTCTCTTCGATTACTTGTTGGTTTGATGCGGGCCCTCATTTTCGAACATATTCTTTGTTGGCCTGGTTTCAGGAAGAACTTGTGCGTGGAAAGAGCTTAAAGCTGTCTGTGAACTGGTACCTCATGTTGGCTTAAAACTACTTTTGCTGATTGTTTATGATCACGTTGTTCCTTCTCTGTTTAGAAACTCTCATTTTCGCATAGCCCCCCTGACCTAAAGTAATCGCGCAGTGAATGCGACCTTCCCACTGCCTAGGTTCGTCGAAAAGCAGGGAAAAGGTTTGGTGGACTCACTGTTCAGCATGTGCAATGCCTGGCTACAACGGGCACTAAAGCATCCGAGCTGCAACATCACTACCGTGAAGGAAACGGTGTCCACCTTGAAGAGTCAAGCTGCCATCGATCAGAAGAATGATCCTGGTGGCCCACGGTATGTTGTTCGTGAGTGGGTGAGCAAGCAAAAGCCCACGCGTGAGTGGGTGGGAACAGCAGATGCTTCCTTTCAGGTTACAAAGACGTACTCTGTTCGAGCAGAGTCCTTTGGAGGGACTTCGCAATATGTTCGCTGGCACAATTGCTATTTCTCTCACTCAGCAGCGCGACAGCCTACTGTTTTCAGTATTGAAGCCAATCAAGTGGCGATCAAGAACAGAGAGTGGCGCAGAGGCTTCTTCGCAACGCCACGCTGGAAAAGAGATGTCCCAGAGAGAGGCACTGGCAACGCAATCCTAGAACGCCACAGAGTTTTGGAAACACATTGGCCAGAGAATGAAGATTCATTTACAAGCTTCGAGAAGAGGATTGCTCGGTACCAAAAGAACTTGCAGCGAGCTCGGCAGCGAAAGCATCGGCAAAGACAAGTCGTTCAAGAGAAACGATTGAGTGCTGCTGGAGAAAGTTCCAGCAGCGACTCTAGCAGTGACAGCAACTCTTCGTGAGAGCAAAGGTCGTTAGCAAATGTGTGGAGCTCTTCTCACTTTAGGACAGGCATATGTTTTTCCAAGCGTTTCAACAACATTCAGAGGTATATGGATTTTCATTTGGCAGTTGAAGCGGCACGCATGGAATTGCGACTTAGCAACGGTTTTGGGCAAAGGACTTTTGATATACCGTCACTTGGGCCCATCAACGCTGACAGGGTGAGGACCAGACAAATCCATTGACAAGACTCCATTCGAAATGCTTTCTGCTGCCAACTTACGGTGAGGCCTTCGATAGCCCTTGGACTTGAGACACGTCTCACACTGCCTGTCATAAAGTCCTTGCTGGCAACGATCTCGCAATTCTTTTAAGGAATTCATTTTCGGGGAAACATCTGGAACTAAGTCTGTGGACACTCCTGGAGGTTCATCTTCATCATCATCATCATCCAGGTCAATGACTCCAGACTTTGCAGCTTGGCACACACTGCACTGAGGCGCAAAACGGTCAACAACATTTGCTTCAGCGGGGACTGTTAAACCCAAAGCCTGCAGCTTTTTCGCAAGGATCAACAACTCTTCCATGCCAAAATCTTCTGCATGTTGAAGGTCTGAAGATCCATCATGGCCGGGCACTCCAAGTCCCCGACCGTTGGAAGCAGTAGGGAGTTCCCCCTGCTCTGACGATGAAGAGCTCGGCAAAGGACTGGAATGCTCAGCTGATGGATCTTCCGACGTTGCCCTACACATGATTGATTTGCCTTTCCACAACTTCGCCAACCTCCTCCTCAAAGGCTGAAAATCTGACCACGATATGTAGGGAAACCGATTTTTCACAATCACCTGGACTTCCTGCAATTTCCCATTCTCTTGCGGCACCTTCAAAGTGGGATTTCGGCCTTTGCCCTTCCAGCAGAAATCACAATCACGGCCTTCAGTGAGGCGCTCCAAAGGAACGATCCATTCTGCAGATGCATCATCAAAGTTAGGGTTGATTAACTCACCATCCTCCGTTCTGTGGGCCGATATGGTTTCACCACTGGCAAGGGCAACTGGAGTGGTAGACATGCGTTGAAGTTTCTTCACCAACTCAGGGCGAAAAGGCCGAATAACTTCATTTGCTCCAGAATCAATCAGAACCAAACGCTCTTCACCAGAACGGATTCTGCTGGCTGAGCTTTGCGTTGTTGCAGCCATCACAAAAGAGCGAACCGACGAGGCACGTGCTTGTCCCTCACTTCCACAAGAAACCCCAGCTGCCGCGATCTTTGGCTTTGGCTCAGAATTCTGCCTTGTGTCAGGATTCTTGGACAAGGGCTTTTGAGCTGCCTTTGCCTTTGGTGGAGCCTTTGGCTGATGTTTCTGAGCTCCAACGGTGTTCTTGTTTTGCATCACGTGTGGGTATCTGCAGGTGTCTCCGTGCTTGCAGTGACCCAGGACAAACAAATATGCATGGAGACAAATGAGCATAGGCACATTGGTCACCCTTCCTGCAATGCCCCTGTGAAAAAAACTGGCAAGGCTTCTTGGCTGGCTTAGATGCTTGCTTTGCTACTGCACGGAAGACTGTTTCAGTGATGCCCTGTTGGTTCATCTTTGTTCGCTCGTCAGCTTGAAGAATTCGAACTTCTTCTTCAACTTGAGCAAGCATGTTCTGGACAGCAGCATCTTGTGGTCTACGGATCTCAGGAGACATTCTGAGCGCCTGCAACTTGAACCTCAAAGGCTCAGACTTCTTTTCCAACTTCTGCAAAATTGAGTCCAACGCTCCCAGTTTTTCATCCGGGGGAAGCGTGGCAAACCAAGAGTCGAGAGTCGTGACACAGCCAACTGCCATCGGCGCGACGCTTTGAAGGCCTCTTCAACATTTTGTGAGGTTGGAGGTGAACGCACCCACAGCTGCAAAGACTTGACTTCTTCTTTGCCCCCTGGATTCAGAACTTCCAACAAAGACACCAACAGTTTTTTTGACTTGTCACCTTGGCGCGGCTGGAATATTCCAAAATGGGTCGCTTCACCTCTTCAGGAAGTGTTCGCATCAAGACAATGCAGCATCGGCTCTCAAATTCACAAAAATACTGACCAGCACACCTAGAAGCAGCTTCAAGGTCTCATCAAGATACTCATAGGTCGAAAGTTTTCCAACTTGTATTTGTTCATACGCCACCTCAGCAAGCTGAAATCTTTCTTCCAAGAAAAGAGACCACCGTCGACCAACTGCATGCGCAATGGCCAAGAATTCGGCCTTCCAAACACTCAGCTGTAGCGATCTTTCCCAAGACTCACCAGGGCTGATCTCCAGTTTGGGGACATCTTTCAGGACTTTCCAAACTCCGTCTTTTCTGTAATCTACACCATCGTCAAACACATCACCTCGAGTGAACTGATATGGCTGACTGATCGGCACTGATTTCGCACGTGATGGCGAAGATCGTTCAATCACAGGCACTGATGGCACTTCCAAAGAGGTGGATAAAAACCAGGCGGCGCCTGCTCTTCTGCACCCCACCAAGCCTCAGCATTCCCTTCTTGCTCTGCTGGAGAAGGTGTGAGAAGAAAATGCTCTGGCCGAGCACCACTTGCCACCGGAGACATGCAGGCTGCTTCTGCTTTCTCTCCCGCTGGCTGCAAGGTCTTGGCAAGACTGGCAAGCTCACTCAGTTGAGACATCATAGCTTGGTGTTGGTCCTCCAACATTTCAACACGCAGCTCGGCAGTTGTCTGGCTGATTCCTGCCCGGGCTGCTTCATTTTTAGCATCATGTGCACTCATGGCTATATCCTTTACCGACGAACGATGCTCTTCAAAGGAGGCCTGCATCACTGACAATGCTTGCTGCATTGATGCCATTGCCTTCTCCATCGTATCCATCGTGGACTCCAAGCTCTTCATTCGGTCATCCTGTGACTTGGAAAAGGCTTGAAGCTGCTCCCTCAACATGTGTTCTCGTTGGTTGCTTTCGGTGAGCTGCTGCTCAAGCATTGCTACACGGTCGCTGAGACCTTGGGTGCTCGTGGCCACACTTTGTAAAGCACTTGCAAGGACTTCAGTTCGACCCTTTGTTTCTGAAGCTAACTCTCGGATGGCCTCTGACATCTCTGCCCCTTCATCCACCGTCATCGCCTCAGGCCCTGCATTCGCTAAGTTGGAGAGCTGCTGCAACATCTCAGCAGGCAGGGTCAACTGTGACACTTCCACTCTTCTCAGTTGCACTGGAAAAGGAGGTATCTGAGGGAGGAACAGAGCCCGTGTTTGGACACATAACCTGATAGTTAACAACTTCAGGTGAGTCTGGAATCGGAGAGAACTGTGATGGAACTAGAGAATTCGAAAGATGCGCCCTCAATGCTGCTGCAGGAAAATCACACGGTTGATCCAGCGGCATTCTCGATTTGTGCGTTTCTTCTCGATGTTCAAAAATTCTCTTTGTCACACTTCTTCCTTCTCAGCAAAATTCAACTATTCAAATCAAATTGGCTCTCTCAAAATTGATTGCCTTCTCTGTCACTTCTTGATTTGTGCTGTGTCTTCCACAAATGCGTCTGCAAGAATTGTTACACTTCTCGATTGTGCTTCAGCACTGAAACGACATGAAAGCAAGCTGTCAAAAACAAGCGCGCCCCTTGTTCGCGCGTCTTGAGCCAGAGCCCACAGGATAGGTTCTATGCTCTGGTTGAACTTGTTGCCAATGAGAAGTCTAAGATCAATACCTGGCAGCCACAATTCACAACACTCCTCCTCAAAAGCTGCTCTGTGGCCAGCAGGTTTTGTTGTCATGCACTGCCAGGACTTTCAACCTGCTTCGGGACTCCTCAAGTTTGGTCCTGGCAAGTACTTTTGTCAGAGCATCGGCTGGAATGTCTGTTCCAGGAACATGTTCAATGTGAAAAACCTTCTTTGCGGGCTTGGTCTCGGAAAAATGCACATCTGATGCCAAAATGGCGTGTGCGAGTTGGTAAGGTGGCATCAGAGCCTTTCACAAGATTTGAAACGCAGGCAGCATAGTCACTGCCCAAGATCATATGCACTGGCTTGCCAACCACCTTTTCCAACAAGGTCTTCAAAGGAGTGCCGTTCTGGCACGTTGTGGCACCCGCATCAACCTCAGCCTCGAATGCACTCCAGGCTGTGAGAGCTTGTCGCTGCGATTTCCACGCCAGAATGTGTTCACCCCATTGAATCACCATGCCTGTTCGGCTGCGACTTGCACCTGGCGCTAAGCTGGCATCTCCATAGCACCAAAGAGGTTCATCAAGGCCAGGGCCATCTGAATGTGGAGCAAAAAACACTCCATGCTCACGAGTCGAGCTCAGATATCGCCAAATCCCCTGGCCCAAATTCCAAACCAAACCAGGATGCACTGTTGACATGCAGGCGGCGGAACCCACCGTAGCAGCAATGTCAGGCCTACTGCGCAATGCAAGCCATTTGACAGCCAATTTCACTTTGAGCTCGCTTCAAAATTTCGGCATATTGTTCGTCACGGACCATGGGCTTCACAGTTCCCTCCGGGATGTTGGGGAGCGAGGGTGATCCTTTCATGTGCAACCACCCTCTCTTGTTCAATTCTTGAACCAACCAGGGTGTCTGGTGTAGCAAAAATGCCCTGATCAGCACATCGGCGGATCTTCATTCCCAGAAAGTTCAGCTCCTTCTGCACAGGGATCACTTCATCTGAAATTTCAACGTGTGAACCTTCAACAAGAGCATTTCCACTCAGAAAAAATTGAAAATTCAAAGCCCACAACGACTTCAGTTCACGGCCCAAACGGAGCAACAACTCTTGGGAGCGACTAGCAAACCATCATCCACATACATCATGAAAAGTCCAACGCATGCACCTTCTGACTGCAACATCCAAGCGCCCGACTCTAAAGGAACCATGATTACATCGCCAATGTCAGAACCAGCGGTGCTCTTCAAGACCCGATGATCAAGCATGAGGTTCCGCTCTTGTTCCCACAGTTTGGGAGCTTTTCGGAGCCCGTAGATGGCTCGCAACGCAATCCAAAGTATGTTTGGGGCCACTAGGCCCAGTCGGACTAAAGCTGGGGGAGGTCGGATCAGGACCTTCTCATCTCCAAGCAAAGCATTCAAAAATGCACAAGATACATCTAACACCAATGCATTCCAGGAAGGATGCCTAGCCAACATAGCCAACATCAGACGCAGCAACTCCTGAGAAGGATTGGCGGAATAGTTCTCCAGCATGTGAGGCGTTGTATCTTCTTGGAAATTTCCACACGCTACTAGGCGCACCTTGGCATTCCAAGACGCTGCAGCTGCTGTTGCGGCAGCTCCTGCCGATGTTTCTTTGCTTGTCATCTCTAACATCGGCTTGCGAGTGAGTACAAGCTTGCTAGGGACAGGAGTGGGCAATTCCAAAGTAGACTCCAGACTCCAAAGCGTTTTAGCTTCATCTCGGGTGACTGGAAGAAGCACGTTCTTGTCCGACATGTTGTCCAATTCGGTCTGCAGCCCATTGATCCACTTGCCCCGCTCCTCCTCAGACATATTCTCATCCCAAAGAACTGTCTGAGGCACTGGTTCAGCAGACGCAAAATTCTGGGAAACAACTTCTGTCTTGTTCATCTCTTCTTCCATTTCAAACAGCAGGATGTGGTACCGAGCCTTTTCCGTCCCTTCGGCCACGATCTGCTTTGCGACCTTACAAGAAGGCTTCAACTTGTCGTCTCCAAAAGAAAGCAAATAGCCATGACCAAATTTGCAAAAATCATCCCATGATGGCTCAATGGAACCCATTTGCCTCTTGATCAACTCGATGGCATCGATTCTGCTCATCTCTGGGCCTTCAGTTCTTTCTTCACAAGTCATTTGTTCCTTCCATTCATCTGGCTCTTGCCACTTGATTTCACCCTTGCTTGACACCCAAACCCTCTGATCATCTTTAAACTTTAAACTCAAGCCGCCACACCTTGTCTACAGATGGTGGGATCAAGGGCATGCGGGTTTTGAGAATCTGAGGACGTGTGCACGAACTCTGCTTCATCAACACCAAGGCGCCATTTGGAATGGTTTCATCTTCGCACAGAAAAACTGCTTCATCCAATCTGCTGGTGAAAGAATCAGAATTCACCTTTCTCACAAGCACCTTTTGACCCACTTTTGGCACTGAGTCGGGGATGGGCAAACCAAGAGCACGTTGTCTAGCAACAAAAACTCCATGTCTAGCAGCGAAAGTCCAAAATGTGAGCGGCAAGCGACCATGTAGAAGACATCGCGTGGCATCATCTTTGACTCTCTGCACCATGCGTTCAGCAACACCATTTGAATGTGATGCTGTTGTTGTCTTCCAAAATCCCATGCCATGGATCTGCTCAACTACCTTGTTGGCTGTGAACTCACCTCCACAATCCGAATGCACTCGGAAATACACGGCCACACCACCAGTCATAGAGGAGATCTGGGCCATGATGTGAACAAGAGCTGGAAGCACAGTAGAGGATTCCTTGTTAGGCAATGTTCTGATGAAAGGAAGGACTGTTCCGGTTGCCAACCTGAGGGCTGTGACCAAAATATACTTGACGATTCCCCAAAAGTAGTGTGTAGCCACTTTAGTCTAGCCAGTTGATAAATAACAGTGGGATCTCTTTTTTGCTATTGTTTAAGAAGCGGCACGCAGCTAAAATTAGTAGTTCTGCAAGGTAGCGCTAGCAAATCCGTTAGGAAAGCGCTAGGTTTGAATGCATATCATGTGAGGAACATCAATATCCTCTATGATGAAATTACATAACGGATTTGTTTTGGAGATGTATTTGAATAAGCTGAACCCTCCACCAGGGCTTGCAACACAAAATTGTGTGTGCTCACAGTTTGGGGCTCAATTATTTTGCTGCAGTTGTTTGTGTGATCATGGCTGTGCCTGTCGGCGCTCCTTCCATTTGCAAAGTTGGCACGTGTGGCAGTGCCATGAAAGAGCCAGAGTTCAACTCAAAGCATTCTCTATGGGTATGTGGTTGTGTATCTCATTTGCAAGCCATTCTGCTTTGTTCAGGAATGATTTCTTTGGCTCGATGCTATCCTTGTTGTTTTAATTACAGGGCTGACAGTAAGACCCTTTGAGGTTGCTGATTTTTATACCACAGCTGGGACGAAGCGTGCAAGCCACCATTGCGCGGTCTAGTGGCTAGCCGTATATTCATGTAATTTTTCTCTTATCAGGCCCTTCTAAATGAACCTGTCAGGTAGAAATTGCTTAGGGTCTTTATAAGTGATATTTCAGCTGAGTTTGGAGAGCGAGTCATCTTGGAATTTCACTTCTTGTTTGACGAAGAGCATCAAGCAGTGGCAGCAGCAAGCGAAGGAGCTTCTGGAAGGGATTTCTGAAGCGTAGCGATTGGGTTGATGGGCTGCTGCTGCTGCTGCTGGTGGTGGTGGTGGTGGTTGTGGTGTTGCTGTTGTTGTTGTAGTAGTAGTAGTAGTTGTTGTTGTTGGTGGTGGTGGTGGTGGTGATGTGTTTTGGTTGTTCTTGTCTTGTCCTGTCTTTGTGTTGTTTTGGTGCTCATCGCCTTTTGACCTGACCTCGCCCAGGTGCCTACATCGACTCGAACTTTGCGGCGCAGAGGATGCTTGGTTGCCTGGCTCTTTGTTTGTTTCTTTGCCTGTTTTGTTTGTTTGTTTGCTTGCTTGCTTGC